CAGCCCCAGCGACTCGGACACCGGCCGCCGACGGGCTCTGATCTTGCCAGTGGTCCTGCAGGCACCCGGCAACCACCAGCTCCCTCACCGCATCACCAACTTCTTCATCGACAACATCTTGCGGCCGGAGTTCGGCCGGAGGAAGGACCCGGGGACTTGCACGGGCGCCCGGGGAGGCCGGGGCGCGGAGGAAGGAGCTGGAGGAGGCGGCGGCGCCAGCGGCGCCGAGGGAGGCGGGGTCGCAGGCGGCGCCGAGCCGCTCCTGCGCGCAGGCGGTCGGGAGCCCCGGCACCACCCTCCGTCTGCACCCGGAGCCGGCGGGCCGCTGCCGGGCTGCGAGGGCGACTCTGCGGGAGACGGCGAAGGAGGCTCGAAGGCTCTCGGGTTGCACAGCGGAACCAAGAAAAGCGCCGATCCCGGGGGTCCCCTGGACGCCACGCTGAAGCCCCGCGCCTTGAGCGGAGGTGACCTGTCGGTGAGCTCGGACTCGGACAGCTCGCAGGCCAGTGCCAACCTGGGCACGCAGCCCATGCTCTGGCCAGCCTGGGTCTACTGCACGCGCTACTCGGACCGGCCTTCTTCAGGTAAGCCCTGCGGGCACCGCGCGCCCTGCCAGCCGCCCGCCGGCCGGCCCAGGGGAGGCCGGCCCGGCCCAGCGCGGCGCTGGAAACGCTCCTGCCGCCCTGGCGGCGGCAGACTTGAAGGGAGGAGATCCCCCCAAAAGACACACACAAAGGCTGTGTGGCACACGTCGCCCACACAGTGACATTGTGTGCAGGCCGATTCTGGAGAACGAGTCACAAGAGAGTAAAAACAGACTTACTTAGAACAACAGAAAGAGAGGATCTCTCTCTCTCTCTCTCTCTCTCTCTCTGTCTCTCGATCTCGCTCTGGCTCTCCCTCCCTCCCTCTGTGTGTGTGTGTGTGTGTCTAGTACCCCTCAACCCCCTCACTTTCTCACACGTGGCAGCCTTTTCTCGTTCTCCAAACCCCAACCTTCTCCTGGCTGTAAAGGGTTTATTTGCTAGGAACCGGGGCACCGGAAGACAGACCAGGAAAAAAGAACTCTCCACCCTTTCCCCACCTCCTTCCAACTCAGATCAGACCAGAGTCCCACGGCCGCGCACCCCCAAATCTAGACCTTTCTGAAATCTAGTTATAACTAGATGTAGTCTGAGGGGTGGGGGAAGCGGGAAAGTGCTCTCTGTGTTTCCCCCATCCCTTAGGCCTGGGCTAAGGATGGACAGAGGACCCCTGCTGGGAGGGAAGTGCTGAGAAAGAGAAGTGTCTTTTTTTCCCATTGCCTTTTTTATTTGCCTGAAGCCAGTGCCACCGGGCTCCGGACCCTTCCTGCACTCGGCTGGAGGCAAGCGGGCGGCGTACCAGAAACCTTCCAAATAGCCAGGACTTTCTGGTAAAGAGGTTTCTTCTCGGCTGCCCTGGTGTGTTCCCGCCAGAGCCGGAGATGTGTGCAGGGGGCCCGGGTCTGTTTTTCACCCGACCGGGTTTTAAAAAGCTAAATCTGTGTCGTCTAGAAATCAGCAGGCACATTAAATTCGAGAACCGCCATTAGGAACGGTCTCTATTTGTGGAAAAGATTTCCTTGGGTCTGCCCAGTCTGTAGGTTCGATGAGATCGTCCCTTTAACCCCCAAACCCTTTGCTGTTTTGGCGGTATCGGTTGCCCAGTTTATAACACGACCTACTCCTCCTGCTGCCTCCCCGCAAAAACACGTACCCATGTATGTCTAATGAAATACTACATTTCCAGCTAGATCTGAAAATTGCTCCATTGTTCTCGCCTCCCTCCCTTTGTTAATATTTAATTAACATATAGTCTCACAATGCCCAGGCCGGCGAGAAACCTCGCTTTGTGCCGAGCAGGCAGTCTGGGCCCTCACCGCGAGGCCCAGCAGAGCCTGCCTGCGGGAGCCGCGCTGCCCCGACCAGCCGGAACCGCGGATCTTTCTGTCTTAAAAAAGCAAGACAAAAACTAGTCCATGAAATAATGCTTGCGTTTCGTGGCGTTTTCAAAAGAAGGGAAGGAGAGAGTTTTCCTGGATGATGTGGTATCCGAGGTTTAGGCTTTGCGATTTGAAACAAGATCACAAAAGAAAGAGTACCAGAAATCTGTTTTGGGGAGAATTTCCACTTTGCAAACCAACGCCTCTCACTTAAGGGCCGAAGTATGTGCGAGGCATGTGCTGAGTAAAGCACAGTGGAGCTGGGGGTACAGAGGTACAGAGGGTGGGCTGCTCAGAGCACAGGAGACAGACAGCAAGCGCCTGCCCTGGTGCAAGACTCTGTCTGTGCTTTGCTGGTTTGGTATCACAATCTCAAGCTGGCTGCCCCTCATAGCTTCCTACATCTTCACCAGCACCCCTCCCCTCCCTGCCCACCCCAGGAGAGAGCTGGACTGGGCAGGACCCTAGTCCCCATAGACTTGTAGACTTCTGCAAGTAAGGAGGCAGGTGCCTTCCAGCAAGCTGGACCTAGTGCTGCTTCTGGGGAGAGATGTGGGTGTCTGCTGCCCAGCAGCTTTGGGCGGCTTCCTTAACTCCCACCACGCCCAGCCCCCTTTTCCAAGTCAGGCTTCCCATGGAAAGTGCAGGGTTACTGCTCTTGCAGGAAGTTCTTTGGCCTCAGCCAACTCTTAGGAACTCCCTCCACCTAGTGCCTAGGTAGAAGGGGCACCCTGCAGCAAGAAGAAACAGCCGTAGCTCTTCAGAGAGCCGGCTTTGCTCAGTTCACTGAGGCCTATTAGCCTACTCACAGCTGAAGGTGCCTGGGTGGGAGGAAGCTGGATCAGGTCTCCCCAAAAGTTTAGTCCCAAGTCTTTCCATTGATAAACCCGGATTTATGGTCAAAGCATCTTCCTTCAAGGTCCCTGTCCGTGCCTTTTCCCTTCTCTAGAACCTGATGTTTACCTTTTGGGGCAGATCTAGGGTTTAGCTTCTCCATACCAAAAAGAAAGAAAAGAAAGAAATTAGCTTTTGGCTGCCTCTCTCTGCTCCCATGACCCGGGCCTTTCCTGCTGGTCTGTCTTTCCCTGGAACAACCCACCAGAAATCAGCCAGTCCCAGATTTGTTGAGAGGCACAGCTGCTGAAGAGATGGAGATGGGGCAAGAAGTGGGGCTTGTCTCCCCAGCTGTCAGATGCTCCTACCTGGCTTCTAAACAGTGTGGAAAGTGGGCCAGCATCCTCCCAGAACAAGGGCCAGCTCACCTCTCCTGAGAAGCTGCTGGCGAAGCTTCTAAAGGGGAAAAGACTGCCTAGTGGTTCCATACTCCTTCATGACCTGGGAACCAATGTGGGTGTAGGCGTCTCTTATTAAAGAAGACAGTGAACTTGGGTAGACTGGATACAAAAGGTGGGATGCAGGAGTGGGGGGACTGGGTGGGGGGCTGGCACAGGTTGGGACACAACCTCTCCTGTGCTCAGAGCCCATCTGCTGGGTGCACACAGCCCCTGTAGGGGTCCCCATTGCAACCCTTGAGGTCTTCCCCTATACCTTAGGCCACCCCCAACACTTTCCCTGTCTTCCTCCCTCACCTCTCCCCCGAATTTACTCTCTTCCTCTTTCTCTGGAAAGAGCTTCAGAAAGAACTGGGAGCAGCTGTGCCAGGAGTTAGTTTGACTTTTGTTTGTTCTGATGTTCTCTGGGAGTTTTACTCTGCTCTGGAGACCACTCTGTGACTGACCAGCACCAGCACCCCCTCCACCCCACCCCACCCCGCTGCCCTGAACCCCATGAACCTACTCACACCTGACACCTGGACTTCTGGCCTGTATTCTCACTCCTTAGGAGTGGGCCTGTGGAGGCCAGCTGGACTTTGTGCTAGTTCAACTGAGTGGCCATGCTGAATCCATTCCCCTTCCTCTCGCTAGGCCTCTGGGCCGTGCCCATACACAGAAGGTGGCTACTTTTGGAGCTACGTCTAGGTAAGGAGGTAAGCGGTGGCGTCCATGGGTGACCCGGTGTCTCTCTGTCTATCATGCCTACTCAGGCCCCAGGTCTCGCAAACCAAAGAAGAAGAACCCGAACAAAGAGGACAAGCGGCCGCGCACTGCCTTCACCGCGGAGCAGCTGCAGAGGCTCAAGGCGGAGTTTCAGACCAACAGGTACCTGACCGAGCAGCGGCGGCAGAGCCTGGCGCAGGAACTCAGCCTCAACGAATCACAGATCAAGATTTGGTTTCAGAACAAGCGTGCCAAGATCAAGAAGGCCACGGGCAACAAGAACACGCTGGCTGTGCACCTCATGGCCCAGGGCTTGTATAACCACTCCACCACAGCCAAGGAGGGCAAGTCGGACAGCGAGTAGGGGACGGGCGGCGGGCCGGCGCTGGGATCCCATTTACAGTCCACGTTAAACAATGCAATAATTTAAAAAAACATAAAGGGCCAGTGTATAAAGATTATACCAGCATTAATAGTGAAAATATCGTGTATTAGCTATGATTCTGCAATATTCTATGTATATATAATTTACAGGTGGTGTAAAATCCAAAATAACTGACTATAAAATATTTTTTGAGTTTTTTTGTGTTTATGAGACTGTGCAAATTTTATGATTTTTTTTTGCAAGGGGGGCTGTTTAGGATTTCATCTTTTTTAATCCCCAAACTCCATTTTGGGACATTGGATACTTTTTTTTATTATTACTCAAAAGAAGGAAAAATTAAAACAACTTGCTGAAGTCCAAAGATTTTTATTGCTGCATTTCACACGACTGTGAACCGAATAAATAGCTCCTATTTGGTCTCTGAGTTCTGCCAGTTTTGTTTGTGTTGGCTTTGGAAAGAGAACAGGCAGGAGGCGCCTAGGCTGCTGCCCCCGCCATCGCCACCGCCAGCCGCCACCAGCCAGCAGCGGAGAGCCTCTTAGCACGCGGCCTGACGCCTGGCTGGCCTTCGCTGCTACCACTACGGGGACCAGGAGGACCTGAGGGGAGAGGGGTTGTGGGATCTTTTGGAGGAGTTCCGGGGCTGGTCTCAGGAACCAGGGCTCTAGGGCTTGCCCTAAGAAGCCTGGGCTGAAATGGGTTCTCTCATCCCTCCGCCCCTAGCCTAGCCGCTGGCGGCCGGGGAAGAGGCCCTGCAGGGCTCCGCTGGGTCCTCGCCTGCCCCACAGTCTCGCGAGGCGGGCCTCCCATCTTCAGCACCAGCCTTCAGGAGTGCCTGGGCCCCCAGCACGGCCCCTCCCTGCCAGCACAACCCACAGAAGCCCCGGCGCCAACCTTCCTGATCCCTGGGCACCACCTCTCTATCCAGGGCTGAGCTCCGTGGTTGGAGGGGCAGATGGCTGCTCGCTAACCCAGGGCCCGGAAGGGGAAGGGGGAGATTTCCTGCAACCCAGCAGCCACCCCCGCGGCAGCAGGAGCCTCAGAAAGGAGACCAAGGGCGGCCTCCTCTGGGGCAGCAGAGGGCTCTCAGTGGCGTAGCTGGTGTTTTCTTCCTTTTCTTTTTAAGTTGATGTCTCTGCTATGGCGACCATATTCTTCCAAGATAAATATATGTGTGTGTGTGTGTGTGTACTTACACACTTACACGTATGCATATGCATACGCAGACGTGAATGAGCCCAAAGGACTGGGAAAAGCAGTGACCTTGACTTGAAAAGAAACAGATTCTGCCAGGATCTCCCGGAAGGAAGAAACATGTAAATAACCATTCCTGATCACCTTTTATCTTTTCTTGTTTTGTTGTTGATATACATTTTATTTTTTGAAGGTATGGTACAGTGTAAATTAAATATATTCAATATATCCCCCTACTGAGTATATATATATATATATATA